GAATTTTTTACTATTTGGCAAGTTGCCGAACTGGCCCTTAGAGATGAATTACTTATAAATTTTCATTTTATTTTGGTCTGTATCGATATCATAAATATATAGTTTGTTAAATTTGTATACTTTTTTCAAAACTATATATAATCCCGCAAAAAGCACAAGAGTTCGGCCATTAGTATAGTATGCATAACACCCCCAAAATTAATGATGAAATATCTAATTTTGTTGCTGGTAAATTCAGTGTAGATCACATTCATTGCCCAAGTTGCGCCTGCCATCCTGTGCAAGGATAGAACCATAATCGATGCGCGTTGACGTGTGTGATTCACACATACCCATGAAGATTAGTCCAATAAAGGATTTCAATTCCTCGTGTCATGATCTTCTTAAAGATAAAAAAAAATATTAAGGTTATATTTATTTTGCGAAAAATGAATAATTTTGAAAATGTATTCTAAAAAGCGATCTCCCATGTCGCTTAAAAAAATTAATGAATAAAAAAATATTATCATCATTCAAAAAAATGCTTAGTTATAAATCATTGTCAATAACGAAAAAAAATTTTGTTGACTAATTATTTCAAGCAATACAAGCGATCATTTTTCAAAAAATATTTTTTCAAATTATTCATTTTTGGCGACACAATCAGAGCTCGAGAGTAAAATCAAAAATTGGATCGAGACCGAGGCTTCTCTCTGCCTCTCTGGGTTGGCGTGGACTGACCCAGATAGTCTTTGGTTTCCCTTGTGCTTAAGCCTCATTCGGCAGCAATTAAAAGGAAAACGGCATCGCTGGGAGCATCAGCTTCTATTTCAGTTGTCAGTTCTCTGAGCGAGAGCGAGAGACGCTCGTACCAGAAAGCTCTTCGACCTCGCTTCGCTTCGCCGTGTTACTTCTAAGAACTTTTCAGATCAAGTTTAATCATGATAAGACTTCTCTAGCATGGCGATTGTTTTGCAGGTTTAATGATTATGAGGACATGCTAGAAGAAACTTGGCATTTTGATTATCCCAGACGACCGGACATTGGCGGATAGCCTCTATCCTGGGTTTAACATTGGATTACCAATGCGGGACAGCTATCCGATATTTCAAACACAACGTAAGAAGAAAGAGAAGGTCGGCCTTGCTGAAGCAATCACTATTCACTAGTAGTATTCTTTCAACCGTAGGTCCTTCACAATTTCTTCCATTCTGCTTGCAGGGAGTGTTTTGTTTTATGGATCATAGTTTCTATTTTACTTTGACAGGGCATATCAATCTCAAGAGAAAACTGTTAAGTAGCATACAATTGGTGAGTCTCGTGCACACCCTGATATGTTCTTTGGATTGCTACAAATTGACTGGGAATAATGACTCTGTTTTGTGATTTAGATTGGTGGAGTGGCTTTGACTGAGGGACTCATTCCTGCTGTAGAAGAAAGGTTAGTTTTGCTTATGCTTTAAACATTTGCAGAATTGTGGCTTTCTGAGCATTCTTACGTGGTGACAGAATTTCATGTTTGACTCTATATAAACGGGTGTTAACTGCCTTGTCTATGCTGAGAGAAAATTGATGAATTTTTTACTTACAGAAATCTGCTGGAGTAATCCCTCCTTAAATTAAGATATTGGCATCTTTTCTGGAAAAAGTTTGAAGAAGGAACACATTAATATAGACGATGAGCTCTAAACATGTATGCTTTGGGCTTGTCATGATTTCATGATATTTGAAACCTTGTGTCATTGTTATATGTTAATTTGGTTTCATATAATTGATGGTTTATCCTTTATGAGCTCCCTTTTGGTTTTGAGAGCTATTTTATGTATGGCTTTAGTTTTTTGGGCTGTTTATGTAAATGGGTTTGCACCCTCTTGGTGCCCTATAGTTGCAGTTTTCTATTTATCAAGCAAAAATCGTCTTCACTACTTGCAATGACTATCTACAAAATTATTTTAGGAAAAACAGAGAAAAAGCACACTTCTGGTTTATGAATGCTCCTTTGTTTTCTGGAATCTTCCATTTAAATAGAAGGAATTTTCTTTGGAGAATTAAAAAAAAAACACGAACCTTGGGTCAATAATGATGTGTTTGAGTGCCCATTATGGATTCTGGCGTTATTGTCCAGTATTTTACTATTCTTTTTCCATAGGTACGTTTCTATAGAAGTTCAAAAGCCTAAAATTGTTTCTCATTGCTCGTTGATTCTCTTCTTACAGAGTATTTCATGCAATTCCTTCAAATGAAGCAATTGATATAGTCGAGGTAACTTTTCTCTTTCCTTCAAATGAAGCAATTGATACAGTGGAGATTAGCTGATCATGCAAGCTTCAATTTCGTCGCATTGGCAACCCCATGATATGGAGCATGATTTAGCAAGATGTTTAAATGTTAAATGGGTCGATTTTGCGGATGTTTTTTTATTGAATGGCATAAAGGACATCATTCTATCTATGCTTCTAAGTTGTAGTTTGCCAAATTTCTTAAAAACATGTCTTGTTCAACATGAGTCAGTCATCATTCATCTCATGCATTGAAGAGTTCATCGTAAGGGTTAATTAGATGTGCAGTATTCCATCAGGACTAAAAATTGTGCACTTCTAGATTGAGCAAAATGAGTTGCAACCTTTTGTTTAACAATGCATATGAACTCTATGCGTCTTCAACAGTTTTCGCAATCAAGAACACGCCCTACTTTTGTGTCATGGAAAGGTGGAGCGGTACGATAAGCATTGTATCATAACATTTTCTCACTTTTTTTGCTGCAAGAAGACGAATTGAATTTAGGCAAAGATTCGGTATATTTGGTGACTTGAATGTGACTCGTGTCCTGTCCTACCTAATGGAGAATTGAGAGCTGTTTGTGTGAGAAACTCTATGGGTTTCTTGATCAAATAATGCAAAACATATTCACCACCATCTCTTTTTCTTGGCGAGATTATGGCGGTAAAGGCAGAAATTGCATTTTCAAAAAGTATGTGGTTTTTTTTTTTAAAATGGTATCTCAAGGACACAGAAAAGCTTCTTCAAATAGAGGCACGCCATGTTTTCATGTTTTCTGATATGGCAGTCACCTGGTGCTACATCAACATTATATTATTTGCAAAAAAAAAGAGAGGAAACATTAGTCATATCGAGGGAAGAAATCACAATCAACATTACGTGAAAAAACCAGAGAGTAATGGTCCATAGCAGTTCCATATGCACGAAAGTCGAAACCTTAAGCCTCATTTGTTGCTATGTTTTAGGGAAAATTCCAATTAAGGACTACAAGTAGGGTCTTTTTCCCAAAAGAGTACCCCAAGTGGACATAGTGTCAAATAAGAGCTTGAAGTGTCTAATCAGTCTCAAATAAGGACCTGAAGTACCCAATTAGTCTCAAGTAAGGGCCTAGGTTCGCCGGCCGGTCAAATGCTCATCGGCCGGCGAGCACGTTATTGTTCCGGCGATCGGAACAAGGGCAATTTTGTCTTTTTCTTCTTAATTTTTTTCTTTTTTTCTTTTTTTTCTTTTCCTTTTCCTTTTATGTTTTCTTTTCCTCTCTTCCCTCCGCCGGCCATAGCCAGGGCCGGCGGAGGTTGCCCTTGCCGGCGTCGAGCGAGGGCCGCCCTCACCTGGGCTAGGCAGGCTAAGGTCACCCTCGCCCGACACCGGCGAGGGTCGCCCTCGCCCGCCCAGCCCAGGCGAGGGTTGCCCTCACTGGCGTCAGGCAAGGGCGAGGGTTGCCCTCACCAGATCTGGCGAGGGTCTCCCTCGCCCACCCAGCCCAGGAGAGGGCCACCTTCACCCGACGCCGGCGAGGGCAACCTTCGCTTGGGATGGGCGGGCGAGGGCGACCCTCGCCAGATCCGGCAAGGGCAACTCTCGCCCGCCCAGCCCAGGCGAGGGCCGCCCTCGCCCGACGCCGGCAAGGGTAGCCTCCACTTGAGGCCGACGACCTCCGCCGGCCCCGGCTATGGCTAATGGAGGGAATAAAGGAAAAAAAAATAGAAAAAAATTAAAAAGAAAAAGACGAAATTGCACTTATTCCGGTCGCCAAAACAGTAACGTGCTCGCCGGCCGATGAGCATTTGACTAGCTGGCGAACCCAAGCCCTTACTTAAGACTAATTGGGCACTTCGGGTCCTTATTTGAAACTGATTAGACATTCCAGGCCCTTATTTGACACTATATTTACTTGGGATCCTTTTTTGAGAAAAAGACCCTACTTTGGGTCCTTAATTAGAATTTTGCCTATGTTTTATAGGGGTGTGCAAAAGAACCGAGAACCGCCTGGACCTTCTGGGACAGCCCGGAACCAGTCCGGTTCTTGGTTCTAATTTTTGGGAACTTGTGGATACCAGTCCAATTCCCGGCTCTAGATGTAGAACCGTCCACCCTATCCAGATCGATAATATAATAATAAATATAATATAATATAATATATTTATTTAATTTTATTTTTTGAAAAAAGAAAAATCCTTAATTCATAAACTAAACCTAACTCGCTCGACACTCACAACCTCACATTGAGCCGAAAAACACATTCTTTCGCTTTCACCTCACTCTCACTAGGGGTGAGCGGTTCCAGGTTCCGATTCGGTTCCGCTTGGAACCTGGAACCTACCCTCGGGTACAAGTTCCTCATTTTTTGGAACCTAGAACCTACCCGTAAGAACGTGGAACCTGGAACCTACCCTGTCACAGGTTCCAGGGTCGGTTCCAGGTTTCAACAGGATCTTTTTTTTAATTTCGTTTTTAATTAAACAAAACGAAAATAAACGCAACAATGACTAGTTATTGAAAAACAATATTTCGCTTAGTAGAAAGGGGATATTATCTAACAACCTAGATCCATTTATGCAGAATAGAAAACACCAAGAGTTCAGCATCATATAACTTTATTATCAATGGATCAGTACAAACATATTTAGTAGAATGATATTGTCAATAAAAGGCCAATTAGCAACACCAATAGCAAACCTCATTAATTTAGGAAAGAAACTTAAAACAATAAAATAGTGGAGGAGGCAAAAACTAGCTAATTAGGACTCAATATTGCAAAGAGATATCTTCTATACAAAAAGCAATAGAGGACATATCGCAATGTCGTAAAAGCATTTATACAGCTAAGCCCCCTTTGTGCAAGGCTTACTTTGCTGATTTTCAACTTAAAAATCATTGGAAGGGATAAAACGAAAATAAATCAAAGGAAAACAATCCAAAGGTCCACCACTTAAGACATACATGTTTACTGTCAGAAATCTTCTTACTTTCGAACTGCATAGACTGGGCCAGTGGCAGCCCCAGCACCAGTATGCAGTGAGTCAACATTGTAGGAAATGCAAAATAGACGAAGAGGAAACGAAACCTACCTCTTGCAGCATAAATCATTGCCAATTCCTAAAACCGAATATCATAACAGATGCCTATACCAATACGTCCAACGTCTGCATAGAGCCAAAAAGAAAAGAAAAGAAAAGAAAACAACTCAAACAACAGATAGACCAGAAGACTCAGGCAACTAAATGTTCCATACATAGTTACTTAAGGAAAGAAAAGTTACCTTGCGGTGCTTGGCTTTCAGCACTCCAATGGAACCAAAAACACAACAAGCGTTATACAATCGATCACCACATCTTTCTGGGATTGAACTGCCCACTATGGTAACCTTCAAGGCCTTAGCAGCTTCAGATAACATAGCAGTTGAAGGAGATGAACCTTCATCAATGTCCTCAGCATAAACAGGGAAGCTATCATTTGAATAGGGACTGTTCCATATTTCCTGGCACAGAGTCAACAAAACCATGAGGCAAGCTGCATGATTTTTCCCTCCTTTTATAGAACGGCGCAGGCTGCAAATATGGCTGATTTTACTGGAAGCCAAAGCTTGCAGTATAAAAACATAGCAATTACATAAGCATCAATAAGAACTTAGCCACAGAAAGTCACCCAAAACTGATGAAACAGACACGTGCCCGCTCAAGATGCTTTTATCCATTCTTTCTTCTAGTGCACGCCTTCACAAAAGGGCATTTGATAAGGTATACAAAGTTCTTGTAAGCCATAAATTTCCCATTTTGCAATCAGGAGGCACATCCAAACTTTCCGCAGCTACACGAAATGCTCAATGACCTTTTTCATTCAACACGGGCTACATTTGCCTAAACATCTGCTAAGTCTACCTAATGCAGAGAGACTCACGGGCAAGAGAACAAGCTGAGCGCCCTTGTCCACGGCCTCCCGAATCGCGTCGCGAGCATGGGCAATGTTCCTCTCTTTATCCGCCGTCATCGAAAGTTGGCATAGCCCGATCTGAAACTGAAACCACACCACCCAAAGAAAAGACGTCAAATTTCGAGGTCGCATCGATGATCGAAGTCGAGGGGTTCGAGCCCATGCCTTGGCGAGGGGAGGAGTGGGCAGAGGGAGCGCGAGCGTCAACTGACGCTTACTCTTGTCCTTGCTCGCTCCCTTCTTGCGCCTCCAGCCACAGGCCGCTCGATTGGCCACCCAAAAAACCCAGAATCGGAAATCCGCCGTGGATGAGCCGGACCGCGGTTGATGAAGACAGAGGAAGAGCCGAGGCGGACACCGAACGGAGCGAGGAGAGGCGAGAGGGTCTCGTCGAGTCGTGGGTGTGGGGAGTGGGAGAGAGCGCGCAATGGAGGAGCAACTGAGAGAGAGAAATTTGGGAAGAAAAGTTGGGGTTTTTATTTTTTACTAGGAAGAGCGTCGGTTCCGGTTTCCGGTTCTGGAACCGGGAACTGGAACCGGAACCGGCAGTTCCTAAAAAATTGGAACCGAGAATCGGAACCGCCCACCCTAGAACTGGGAACCGAACCTTACCCGCCGGTTCGATTTTTCGGTTTCCGGTTCTACCCTGGAACCGTGCTCACCCCTAACTCTCACTCTCACTCTCATTCTCTCTCTTCTCGGTCGATACTTACCTCACCGTCATTGACTCTCCATTTCTGTCTCCGTCTCCATCTTTCCGTCTCTGTCCTTGGCTAGTGGGACCGGTTCCGTGTACCCACCCGGGAACCGGACCGCATGGATCCATGGAATCAACGAACCGGACCGCATGGATCCATGGAATCAACGAGCGGTTACCGATTTCAATTTTTTGAACGGGTCCTTAGTGGGCGGTTCCCGATTCTAGGATGGGAACCGCTCACCCGGACTATGCTCACCCCTCATGTTTTATGGGAGGCAATCAAATTATGGGAAAGTGGGAATGAAATCAAACACTTGGTGTTATGAAAGGAAGACACGTGGGGTCCTTTGCAAATTGTTGGGTGACGTGAAAGGCCTCCACGGCAGTCCCAAAGTTGTTGAGAGTTCACTTCAATCCACCTCCACAGCAGGTGAGCCCATTAATGGAGTGCACAATGACAATCGACAAAAGAAGACGGAGAAACCGAGAGCACCCGACTCTCTGAAATAGCGTGGGGTACAGACAGAAACGGTTTTGAAGGAAATAAATGGGAACAGCCACACCTATTTCTTAATGTGATTAACCTAAGAGCATTGCTAGCCTAACGGTGCAATTCAGATCAAAAGTAATGGTTTTTATTTTAAGAAACAAATCTATTCATATCATTCAAGATGGAGAATTGAAGGTGGAGAAGCCACCGTTTCATTTGAAAGACTTACTGTACGGTCAGCTCATCATTTCCCTTAACCTAATCACGTTGTGTGATTTTCTAGTTTGAAACCTACAATTCGGAGGACAACGACGATAGGAGTCCTTGTGCCAACTTTTATTTCGTTCGTTTCATAATTAAAACTTGCATTAAAAAGCATTTGACAGTTCCGGTTTGCCCTGTAATTTTCTGGTGGACAGAAACCATGGCCGACTTCTTTAATTCCCCGTATGCATAACGACAGATTGCTTGAGAATATGACTAGATGTTCAGGAATTCCCTGTGTGAAAAAGAGAAACATAATTTATTAATTATCTTCTTTTACTAATCGAGTCATCGAAACATTTAGATGTGATATCATTCGCTAAATTATCTCTTTGGCTTTATTGTCACAAAACATGGATGACCCCAGAATTAATCATTTTCGTAAGTCTCCCAACTCTAAATTTTACACGTATTCTTACATACGAAGGCAATTATGGAGTTATTTTCTCCTTGATCGAAATAAGAATCCTCAAATATCTTGATATACGTATACAAATCCATTTAAATTTTACTTCAAAATGGTATTTGTATGAATTGATATCTATTGAGAGTGCTACATATGTCAAAAATTTATTTTAAAAAAAAAAGAGAATAAACGAGGTGCAACATCGAATTTTTAGAGAAACGAAAAGATTGAGAATGTCTTAATTGTTAATTCTTCTTGGTCCAGCAACAGCGCGTAACTTAATATTCTAGTACACAAGATAAAGGGATGGTTTTAAAGACGTGGCATGTTGACCCTTGTCAATTTTTGTTATACTCTTATTTCTTTTATTCTTTGGATAAAAATTTCCATTTCTACACAAGAAAGCTATTACAAGTTTTCATTATTTTGTGGGATAATGCTCATTTCTGCTACACGATTCTAAATAAGCTTTACATATTTTTCCCAAGGCTCATTTATGCTACCCAATTCTCAATAAAGTTATTATGAGGAAAATTTAATCATTTGCTTAACCATTTCCAATAAAGTTATTTGAGCGCATTTGGGTTTTCGTTTGGAAACTACTCTCAATACTTGACCCTGGCCTCCAGCCGGTCGCCAAACTGGTGACCGGCTGGAGGAAGAAGAAATGAAAAAAAAAATAAGAAAGAAAAAATATTAAAAAATTCGAAAAATATTATTAAAAGTTATCTACGTCATCACCGGCGATGCCACGTAAGTCGGCCGGTATCCACGTCAGTAAAATCCGATCAAAATTAGTCAGAAGGACTGAATTGACACAAAGTCAAAAAGTTTAAAACTGAATTGGCACCAAAAAAAGATTTAGGAATAAATTGGCATCAATGCAAGAGGCTTAGGACTTTTTTGACACTTTTCCCTCTTTCGTTCCTTACTCAAGTTCTGTTTTCACTTATATGCAGAAACATGATTGATGCACGCGATACCAGAAGAGCTCATGAATCAATAACTAATAATATGGTGACTATTTAATATTATAAACACTGCAAAAACTGGAAATCCAAAATTAAGAAAGATCGTGTAACATGCATTCATATATTTCCACATATAAGTCACCCTTGAGAAAAGTACTAAAATACAAAATAATCCAATTAGTATCAAAAATAGCGTAGAGCAGCCCTATAGTGGATATGATGACATCAAAACAAATACAAAATCTTTGTAAAATCCAACCGCAAAATTAAATTAAAATAATTGATATGTTGCAATACTTCTATTATATGTAGTTCACAAAAGAACTCTAAAATCATAAGAATATGTACACTATCATATTTGAAGTTACTTAGGCTGTGCATGGTATCCATTCTGTACCCGAGAACAGATTCAACTCAGAAATGATTCTTTTTTATTCCGTACCCGGAAATAATTTCTAAGCATTTGAAGGCGTTTGGTAATTGCCTAAAATTTATATTCTTAGAATAGAAAAAGAATAGAAATGCGTTTGGTAACTACACAAAATTTCATTTTAGTAATAATATTTTAATAATATTTTGAATTTTTTAATATTTCTTTTTTTCCTTTTTTTTTTTTTTTCTTTCTTTCCCTTCCCTTCCTTGGCCATGGCCGATCGCCGGCGCCGGCGACCGGCCACAGGCTAGGGTCAGTGAGGGCGTCGCGGCCCTCGCCGTTAGCCTTGCCAGTTGTAACAGTGAGGTCGAGCCTCGCCAAACCAAGGCGAGGCCTCGCCATCGCGGCCGTGAGCCGCCCTCGTCGGCCCTGGCCTATGGCCGGTCACCGGCGGCCGGTAGCCAATGGCCGGCTGGTGGTGGGCGGCAGGCCGAAAAAACAACAACAAACCAAAAAAAAGAAGAAAATCAAGAAGAATCAGAAATGAAAAAATTGTTCCAGAATCAAGAAAATACTTTTTTTTGCTTCTTGATTCTGTTCCAAAACTGATTCTGGGAATAAATTTTTGCAAAATTATTCCCGGGCACAAAAAATTTAACAAATGGATTTCTGCTTCCAAACTAATTCTAGGAACAAAAAAACGGAAATTTTTACTATTTGGCAAGTTGCCGAACGGGCCCTTAGAGATGCATTACTTAGAAATTTTCATTTTATTTTGGTCTGTATCGATATCATAAATATATAGTTTGTTAAATTTGTATACTTTTTTCAAAACTATATATAATCCCGCAAAAAGCACAAGAGTTCAGCCATTAGTATAGTATGCATAACACCCCCAAAATTAATGATGAAATATCTAATTTTGTTGCTGGTAAATTCAGTGTAGATCACATTCATTGCCCAAGTTGCGCCTGCCATCCTGTGCATGGATAGAACCATAATCGATGCGCGTTGACGTGTGTGATTCACACATACCCATGAAGATTAGTCCAATAAAGGATTTCAATTCCTCGTGTCATGATCTTCTTAAAGATAAAAAAAAATATTAAGGCTATATTTATTTTGCGAAAAATGAATAATTTTGAAAATGTATTCTAAAAAGCGATCTCCCATGTCGCTTAAAACAATTAATGAATAAAAAAATATTATCATCATTCAAAAAAATGCTTAGTTATAAATCATTGTCAATAACGAAAAAAAATTTTGTTGACTAATTATTTCAAGCAATACAAGCCGATCATTTTTCAAAAAATATTTTTTCAAATTATTCATTTTTGGCGACACAATCAGAGCTCGAGAGTAAAATCAAAAATTGGATCGAGACCGAGGCTTCTCTCTGCCTCTCTGGGTTGGCGTGGACTGACCCAGATAGTCTTTGGTTTCCCTTGTGCTTAAGCCTCATTCGGCAGCAATTAAAAGGAAAACGGCATCGCTGGGAGCATCAGCTTCTATTTCAGTTGTCAGTTCTCTGAGCGAGAGCGAGAGACGCTCGTACCAGAAAGCTCTTCGACCTCGCTTCGCTTCGCCGTGTTACTTCTAAGAACTTTTCAGATCAAGTTTAATCATGATAAGACTTCTCTAGCATGGCGATTGTTTTGCAGGTTTAATGATTATGAGG